TCTGGACACTGCATCCTGTGTGGCTGGCACAGAAAATGTGCTCTCCATCGGTGTTGGAAACATTATAAAGTGAATGCTGCACAAGATGTATCTCATTCATGTTACTGGCGCTGTGGCTACAGTCTCCATATCAAACACCCACACGCACAGGACACCTCCACAGACCTCCTACACAACCTGCACTGCAGTCGCTACCCCGCCCCTCCCTCTCTCCTTCTCCCGCCTCAACTCATTCACCTTTCTCTCAGTCTTGCCTGCGTCACTCACCGTGTCTCTGTTGCCACGGAAACTAACGATGCCCTCTCTGCTCTGGTGCTGATGCAGGCGGGCTGTTGACGTCACCGCTGAGCGGTGGGCGGAATAACAATGTTTTGCTCGACCGCAGGGTCTCAACTCGCTGATATACTGTACTGCAAGGATGCTGTATTTGTCTCTCGTACATCTCTCTGTTTATCCCACTCTGCTCTGTGAGGCTGTGAGCGTCTAAAGTACATTCGCCAGCCATATGAGTCATTTCATGCGGGTAAAAAAAAAGAAAAAATAATATTATAATTGCAAAGTAGCTGCACGCATTTTTGTTGAACAAATACATTCGGCTTTGGAGACCTCAGAAAAATACCCTACATAGAGTTTGTTTTCCAGCAGCCACTGATGGACATGTAAGGGCATTAACATTTCCACAAGTTACTTTCAATCACAGTGCACACTGGTTTCCTCCATTTACTTTCAACGTTTCCTTCCCTTTTCTCGTTTATGCTCAGTTTAACCAGGAACACCATGAGACATAATGCCTCATCTTAAGTCTGGTTTATATGAAAGTTAACCGTGATCTCTGAGCCTCTAATCAGGTCTAATCAGAGTGTGATGAATAAATAACGCTGTAATCTGAATTTGAACTTTAACCAACACAACGAGATAGCAAGCCTGCTCTGCTTCCACTTTTCTATTCATTTTCATCTATCAAAAACCTTCTTTTGACTGAGTTGGAGGAACATTTTCAGCAGAGCCTGCTGCGCTCTTCTCCCTTTCCTTGGCCTTCGCCTCTCACACCTTCCCCGCCCAGTCTCTGCTCACTTCTGGCGACCCTGAGCTTTTTTATGCTATGACATCAAACCACAATGCATTGCACTGTTTGGAGTTTACCTAATGTCTCCATGGCGATAAAGGCCGGCTCTGCCCCTTATTCAAATTGAACCGGAAACCAACGTCATTTTGGGCCAATCTCCGCGCTCTGGAGTGACATAATGGAATTTTTAGGGCTAGAAAGCGAGCAAGGTCTGGCGCTGCGCATAGCAGTCGTGCCATCGGGAAAAGACCATATCATATAGAGGCACATCAGAGCCCCAACAGGCACAACAGCTTAGTTGAAGTGGTCGACTGAGTGATAAGACGAGAAAGGAGATAAGGAGACCGGAATACACCAAGTAAGAGTCAGCTGATTTCCTCATGTTTGGATGTGACTGTTGAACAAACGTTAATGCCTAACGCTCAACACTCCCTCTTATGAGGGTGTAGAATGGAAACAAGCCTCTACACAGGCACCGTGGTGAATACTTCGAGGCTCTCCGGTATCTATTCCCAGAACACGATGATGAAGAAGGACATTAATCTGAACCTAGACAATCAGAACTCCGAACTCAAATCTAACCCGCTCCGGGACGCAGACGGACTTCTCAACTCCTCAGACTTAGGACTCCTGAAACTAACCTCTCCGGACCTAGAGCGACTTATTATCCAGTCCAACGGTCTAGTCACCACCACCAACCCGACCTCCCAGTTCCTTTACCCAAAGTCAGCCAGTGACGAGCAGGAATTCGCGGAAGGTTTCGTAAAGGCACTGGAGGATCTTCACAAGCAGAACCAGCTGAGCGAGACGGGGTGCGTCTCTGTGGACAGGCTGGAGCTCCTCGGATCATCCAGCGCAGCAGGCTCTGCCAGCCTTCAGGCATCAGACCTCCCTGTGTACACTACGCTGAACGGCTACGCGGCCAGTCCGCTCGGAGCCACCACCATCAACTATTCCACGGACACCATTCCCTTCCCGCCGCCGCCGTCTCATTTGGCTACCGCGCAGCAACAGGCGGTCGCTGCGGCCGCTCTGTCACGACTCCAGTCTGTCGGCGCTTTGAAGGACGAACCTCAGACCGTGCCGGACATGCAGAGCTTCGGGGAGAGTCCTCCTCTGTCCCCCATCGACATGGACAACCAAGAGCGCATCAAGGCGGAGAGAAAGAAGCTGCGCAACAGGATAGCCGCCTCCAAATGTCGCAAGAGAAAGCTGGAGAGGATCTCTCGGCTGGAGGACAAGGTCAAGACCCTGAAAACGCAGAACACCGAGCTGGCATCCACAGCCAGCGTGCTCAGGGAGCAAGTGGCCCAGCTGAAGCAGAAGGTGATGAACCATGTTAGCAGCGGGTGCCAGCTTTTACCAAACCAGGTCCAGGCTTATTAATTCCAATAATGGTGCTCTTTAGTTGATGTTTATTACTGCTACAAATGTGGCCCGAGGATACAGGCCTGCATTATAAAGAACATTTGTGCCCCGTGTAACAGAAAATCCCTTTCACGAGACGCTTAATGCGAAGCCAGTGTGGATGCATCCTCACGGCTATGGTTGGGAAGCATAAACAGAGACGTTTACACGGAAGTGAACAGGCCTCGATAAGAGCTGCAGGTCAACTGGAAAACGAAAGCTGGTGGGGACTACAGCTTGCAGTGTTTTGCAGCAAACAGACTCACTTTGATGTCCTTATTCTGGGAAAGCCATGTAGCAAAGTGCAATTCACTGAACTGGTGTGGCACTTATTTGTGTGTAAGCTGGACAATATCAACGTGGGCGCAACCAAAACACCGGGGTGTCACCAAGTGCTGTCATCCACTGTGTAATATAATGCCTTACTTGTTTACAAGCACTTAAAAATGACAAATATCTATATTTTATTTACTGAAACATTTCTTATTTTACATATGGTCTTATTTCATTGTTTTGGTTTTTTTTGGAAAAATGAACACTGCATGTCTTGTCGCTTCTGTGTACAGTAACCTTTGTACTTTCCTTTATGATGGCTACTCTTGTACTTCTACTTGCCAAACTTCCATGAATGTATGTGTATGTGCTGAGAAACTCCATGTATCATGTGTAATGAACGAGTCTACAAGACATTATTAAATTCACTACATTACTACAGCTCAAACGTTTTGTTTCTTAATAAGAAGACAGCCTGCTGATAACAGTTTAAAGGACTTACACGACATCTTTTCTACATATCTCTTTTTGCACAGTTGACACTGTGGGTGTTGTATTAAGTGCTGTAGAGAGGCTGAATCAAACCATAGATGGTCAAACAACTCAAAGGGCAGAAATGAACACATCACTGTAGTATTGTGCCCTCTGCTGGGCACAGTACAACTTACTCTAAACCATTTCTGAGCCATCACATGTGCACTTCTTGTAAATCACCCACACTTTGGGAGAGGTTGTTGAATCCACACAGAACTCCAGCTTTGAGAAGTTGTTTATTGATTCCTTATTTTTAGTAAACCTGGCATTACACAGTTACAGCACAATTCACATTCCTAATGCCTGACGGGCAGAAAGTTCCTATTTACACAGGTTATATGTAACAGGGTGAGGAAAGAGGAGGAGGAGCTGGACGGGAGGATGTGTTTTCCTAAGTTATTAGCAAGTTTACAGCTGCAGTAAGATACACTAACCAAAATTTTAAAAAAGAAAAAAAAGAAAGAAAGAAAGAAAAAAAAAAAAGAACAGTGTTGTATCACATGTGTTTTTAATCAAGTGTTCAGCATATTCACTTTATTCCCAAAACACTTTTGATGTTTGGAGCTGCTGCACAGAGTAGAAAAACCACCAGACAGGTTTGATAGCACAAGTCCAAGAAGCAATGTTTTTGGCTTTAAACACATCATCAAGACCCTTTTTATAGAAACTGTACATTCAAACGCCCGAGTACAGTGCTCAAAAACCTTCAGCGAGGCTTCACTGTGCTGACGATGGTCAAAAAAACAAAACAAAAACAAAACTGTTCTATGCTCAGCCTAGCCTTAAAAGTTACATACCTGATATCAAAAGACAAACAAACTTCCCACCAAAGTCATGTGGACATGAGCAGAGGTTTTACACTGGAATGTTTAACTTTCCTCTCGAGGAATCATCTTAAGCTTTGTACACTGTGCACTGTAAACACACATCTAAAAGCTGGGACAGTTTAGCGATTGAATACTACTGAACATCTCTTAAAAAGTTGAGTGCAGAACACAATGCGTAATCTAGGAAGAATACTACAAATAAATTAAGTTATAAATAATACAAAATAAATAATTCATGTGATGAAGCTATGTCTTCGCATGCCTCAGCATATGTCTGAATACACAAGCAAACAAATCCCTTAACCTGAGCCTCACAGAAAGAAAGGGAGAAATAAGAGTCACAATTTAACATGCTCAAAAACATCATATTCTGTCAAAAATAAATACGTAAAGACATAAATATCATCTACAAAGACATAAGAGGCTTCCTGGATATGGCAGGACTGTGCTGCACCAGTGCTCACACTGAATCACATGCCTTTCTAGTGAGTGCACGCTGCACATTGTACGCATTGAATGAAAGTAATACAATGTGCAGGGGGCTGTGGGCTTAACATCTGAAACCTTTAGCCCCACCGGGTACCTCCAAGTATCTTAACTGCATGATAGGTGGGATTTCAAATCAGACAACAGCTCATACAGATAACCATCCAGTCAACCAGAATCCATTAAGAACATCAACGACATGCACCTCTTACTACGGCACAGGAATGAATCCAATATCCAAAATCATTCTCACTTTAATATATTATATGCATTTCACCTTTAAAACATTTATACACTCTTCAGTTAGCGAAATAGATCCTGTATCCTTTTATTTTGTCCTGTGCTAAAAAGCAGCAGTAACAAAAAAGGTTAAAAAGAGGCTCTGTTGCTTTTTTTTTTTTTTTTTAAACGCCGCATTAACATACTCTCCGAGTCTGCTAATAAACATTTGTTTAAAATTTCTGAGACAGGCCTCAAAGTAATTATATATCTACACTCATAGAATAAAGAAATGCACTTCTATTACTACCACTTATTTTCAAAGTTAACATATTTCATAACAAAACTAAAACTGACACACTGTACGCCTATGAAAAGTTTGCACCCAGGTGTTTCCAGTGTTGTAATGGTGAAGTGGTAAAGACTTGGTAGGAGAACAATAGGCTCCTGATTCTCTGTCATGGTGCTGAGTACAAGCCAGCCGAGAGTTATTACAGAACAGTAAGAAGTTGACACATGTGCACACTAGCTTAAGTCATGGGCTTCTTTTTTAAAGTTGTACAACCACGGTTCCTATGGTGGCATGCGCATCTTCTACATTAGTCAGCTATACCTGACCATATGATCAAATTCAGAAATGCCTATACCTGCATCCTTTAAGGTGGAATGCACAGGTTCTCTTAAGTGATGTACGAATTTCAACCAGATTAAGCGTCCTGTTAATCTTGGATGCAAAATGTTATCAAAGTAAATGAGTCATACCTTTTCTGTTGACTTTTGTTTTGTTATGAACTACATTGGGGATAAATAAAGTCTTTCTGATTCTGATCTGATTTAGTATAAAATCTCCCTAAACAACAGGATCAGTGCATTTTTAGACTCCATGAGCATAGATGTCTTGATTGGTTGAGTGATATGCACAACTTGCTATTTTTCCACTAATTCCCTAAATTAAAGAGAGAAACGAGCTCTCAAACAACCCTGTAAGGACACCAAACTAAAACACAACTATGACAAGATGATTTCACATGCTCAAAACCACACCTGACCAATTCAAAAACAAAAAAAACCATCAACCAACACAGCAACAAACATATTTTCAGTGGAAATAAATGTCGAGGAATTGCCAAATGATTGGTATCTATTTAGGTCTGAGGCATTGGTGCTGAATGGGAGTGGAGGCTGGAGGAGAATACTGCTCCTTCACAACCTTTTAGAGTTCAACCCAATCACAGACACATTAAAAATAAGGAATGATGTAGTCTTAGCCTGACTGGCCTTTTGCAGTTCTGTTATAGTGCGTGTGCAGCTATTGAAGACTTTTTACGATGGTAACCATGTTAAATGTTCTTTACCCCTCTGACCAAATATGCATAATCTCATAATTTCTGTACTACTGACAACAAAAACTTTAAGAACACCACATCTTTGGGGGGAACTGGCTGATGTGGACAGTAGTTGTGGTGTAGTGAGAGGGGTGGAGAACTGAAGAGCCATCTTGCGTCTGTCTCTATGTATGGCAGTTTCTGTGTGTGGTATGAAAACAAACAAAAAGAAAGCAAAACTCAAAAATAAAACCCAACAAGGTGTGTGGATCTCATGACAGCAGACGTGTGTGTAGCTGTGTTCAACAAGCACAATCCTGATGGGACCTCTGAGGCTGCTCGCTGAGCTGTGGCCCCTGTTTAGCTCCGGTGATGGTGGGGTCGTTGTTATCCAGACTCTCTGCCATCCTCTCACAGATGATGTCCACGAGCCGCTCGAATGTCTGCTTCACGTTAATGTTGTCTTTAGCGCTTGCTTCAAAGTACTCAAAACCTGGCAGAAGGGGTGACACAGACAGATGCGCTGTGGTTACACTTATTGTTTCAATGTGCAGCTTATCCTCTTAACCCAGTGATCTCATCGTGGCAAGACATATCAAGACTAGTCAGGCAGGCAGCTCAAGTCTGATGACATTTTCCTTTATATCAGAGGACTAAAGAGATTTTAAAACCTGTCTCCCTTTGACTGGTGGTCTGAGATCGAACCAAATAGTCTAAGAGTATAAAAAACATCCTTCTCAAAGCTGCAGCTACTTAGCTTCTTTGTGCATTTCCATGTTTGTAATTTCTTAAGTTCTGATGATCTGATCTCTGTTAAACTTCAGATATCTTGTGTAATGCTCATGTTAGCAGTTCACTTTTGCTTAATTGCCTTTAATTTAGAGTTACAGTACTGTGCACAAGTCTTCAGCCACCCCTCATTTCTTTATGTTTTGCAAGGATAGTGGGAAACGTGCAAAAATACACAAAAAAAGTATATAAAGGCAAAAAACAGAGTTCTCCAGGCTTCTTGAAGGACATTCAGAGCTTATCTTTGGATGTTGGCTGCTTTTGTTCTGTTATCTGTCAAGATGATCCCACAATGCTTCAGTATTTTTGAGGTCTGGGCTCTGGGGAGGTCAATTAATGACCAACAGTGTACTTGTTCTTGTGTATTTTGGCACACCATGGCATTTTATAACATGTTTTCCTTCCTTAAGAATGGCTTCTTGACAGCTGCCCTTCCATTGAGACCATTTCTGATGAGGCTTTAATAAAAGGCAGCTCGATCAACTGGAAGGTCAGATGCATCTCTTAAGTCCTGTGTTGATTTTCCTATTTTTAACAACATAATCAAGGATATGATTTACCTGCTGCAGACATTTTAGGCCTGCTACATCTTCTTGGGTCCTCCACTTGTCCAGTTTTCTCAAAACATTTTTTGACACACTGAACATCACCTTGTTGGTGAAAAAAACTATTTTATGTCTGTCAAATTGGCAGTTTTCATAGATTCAGCTAAAGAAATGGTGACAAATGATGTGTTTCTGCAACAGCCTGCTAGTAACAAAGTGCCTGTCCAAAGAAAAACTCAAAAGCCTTGGAGAACCGTTACCCTAGAGCACTTTAAACATTACAAGAAACTCTGGTTCATTCAAAGCAGAACATAAAGCAATGAGGAATGGCTCAAGACTTTTGCACAGCACTGTACTACACCAGTACTGTTACAACCTCTCATCCTGTTTAAAACAATGCAATATTTTATGATGGCTGTGATGAAGGCCACAAGCCCAAACACACATTAAAACGATAACATTTCTCTGTAAGAGCTGCTGCAGCTTTAACCTCTTGCAAACATCAGTTTCACACACAAATGAAACGATGCAGTGCAGCAAAGCTGAAGAGGACATTAAACAGATATTAAGCATTATGTTTGCTCCCATAACGACAGCCTCACAAACAAACAGTCTAATCAAAACTTGGCCATCGGAATAAACGTAAATATTCCTGGAAATGGGAGATACACACCCAGAGTGATATAACACCACACACAGTGTCCAGTTTTCATTCTGACCAAATGACTTACCCAGCTGTTCTGACAGCTGCCGGCCCCTCTCTGCAGCCACCACTCGCTCATCTTCCATATCACACTTGTTCCCCACCAACAGGACCTGAGCGTTGTCCCACGAGTATGTCTTGATCTGGGTCGACCTGTTTGCAAAAACAGGATGGTTTAATGTTCTGACTCACAGAATCTCACAAGCATTTTTTGACATTAAAGCAATTTAATCAGAAAATATTTTGACACATCCCTTCAGCACAGAGCTGTGTGGATCTGAGAAGAAAACTATCTAACATACGATCTGCTGCGTTTCTTTCTCGTTCAGCAGTGACATACACTTCTTCCATCTGTGTTGCAAACACAGAGTTAGAAAAACCAACGGTTATTTTTAACATCACTGTGCATTTGTTTGCTGATTTCAATAATGACCTACTGTAGTCTAATGATGTATTAGACTATCTCCATGTAGTGGAACCACAGCTGTACATCTCAAATTTAGATGGAGGATACGCTGAACTCAAAAGGAAAGCTGGGCGAAATTAAGAGAAAATAAGATTGCAGCTTAATGAGTCACCACTCTCACAGACAGACAATCAGCCGTCCCTCACCAGTCTTGCACAGCGTTGAAGGATTCCTCATTGGTAATGTCATACATGAGGATGAAGCCCATGGCACCCCTGTAGTAGGCTGTGGTGATTGTCCTGTAGCGCTCCTGCCCAGCAGTGTCCTACATTCAGAGACATTTTTGAGAATATGCAGGATTATTGTGAGCAGAGGACAAAGAACACTGACGAGGCACCTGCAATGGATTTGTGGCTGTTCAAGAGTCTCCAAACTCCCATGAGCATTACACATTCTTGTGGTGTTTCATGTAATGAGTACTTGGTTCCAGTGTCAGGCTTTATGGCTCGTATTAAGTACCCTTCAAGGGTTTACACAACAAATAAAATGAATCTAGGCACAGAAGAGGCCAGTTCTGGTACTGATTAGCGACACACGATAAGACAGACTCCACTGTCACTAATACGATGGGCGGAA